ATTTGGGTGCAGCCCTGGCTGGGCTCTGGTGCTGCCCAAGGTGGATCCATGGAGGAGATCCTTTGAATCAATCCCTGCTTTATTCTTTAGCTCTGTCCAGCCTCTGCTCTAGGCCAGCCTTCACCAGGCATCAAATTCTGTTTCACAGAAGCAAGCTTAATTTCAATGAACTTACATGGTAAAATGTTGAAACAAGCATAATGCTCTTATTTTGCAATGGTGGGGTTAGTTAAAAATTAATGAGAATTATGTCATTCAGTATATTTATTGTGGTTTCTTAAATTTTTAGAGGTTCAGTTTTGGGGTGGCTGTTGAGAAAAATAACAGTGCATTTAGTGCTGTCAGTGCTGCTTAAAAGTCCTTGGCTCTTATCTTGATGCTATGGCCTGAGGTGTGTGTTGTGGAAACTGTTTAGAATTTGTAATAGAGAAAAGCATGGGAAAAGTGATAGTCCTGTTCCAGTCTTATTCCAACATATGTTCCCTCTGAACTCCTGATACGTACAACAATATAAGAATCTAAACCCACAAAATACAAACACATGGTTAATACCTTACCTAGTCCACAACCAACTTTACCTCAAATAATAAAAACTTAAAAGATAAAATCTCCTCAACACATAACAACAATGCAAATTTATTGGAAAACAAAATTTTTAAAAAATCTAAAAACAAATCAAAGTCTCAAAAAAAACCCCTCACAACTCTCCATGTAACTGCTCAACAAAATAATTCCACATAAATAATAACAACAAAATTCACAAAAACCCCTCATATTTCAAATCTAGAAAATTAAAACATATCAAACAATATTACCCAAAGTCTATGAAAAACACAAAACCAGCAAATCATTACCCAAAATAAAAAAAATAAACAACTTTACAAATCAGTACCATTCCAAAATAAATGTAGATAGAAAATCTCTACCCCTACCAAAAAACTCCACAAAAACCACAGCACACCAGCACACTCTAACAGAAATAATAACAGTAACTCATCAATTTTTATATTAATTTTTCTTCACACAGATACTTAGGATTACAATTTAATGTTGTGTTGAACCCCCCAAAAAATAACCAAAGCAAAAAATTCCACACAGGACAAAAATTCTCTAACTCCAAACAAGATTTACAGTGCCTACAGGCTTCTGCTCTATTCCCAATTTGTTCCTATGATTTGTACCATAGGTGAGTAGAAGTCAGTGTTTTGGCTTTCTGCTTTTATCAGATTATAAATAGGTTTTCTCAGAATATACGTGAGTGCTGATGTTTCATAAGCATTAAAAATTCTTTTTTGTAATTATTTTTTTCGATTAGATTGTTATGAAATGAAGATTTTCTTTATTCATAAACTGAATTTTAACATTTACATCTGAAGATTTATTTTTCTACAGTGAAGAAGGCCATGTTCTTTGGGCCAAAGTGTAAGATTTAATTTTCTTCCACTCATCAGTGATGTTGCATCATGTATTTAAAGTTTTTTCACCTTTGAATGTGATTATGTATTGTCTTAGAAGTGACACACTAAGAATATTACTACTGACTTATTAATTTAATACAGATACTGTTCATGACTTAACCTTTCAGTTCTCAACATCTTGCAAGGTTTTAGTCCAGTAACCAGTCAGTAATTTCAAAAAAATTAGAACATACAGAGGATGATACAGACACTCAGTTAAGTCAGATTCAGGGACAGGGACTTATGTTCCAATTGCAATTAAGCCTAGAAAACTTGAAAGACAAGAATTATGATCTATTTTTCCCACTATCATTCACCATGGTTGCTGCAGGAAGAAAACAGAGCATTTCCCTTACAGAGAATTTCAGGTCAGACACGGTGTGGCAACAACATTCCTGGCCATTCCCAAAGCCTTGCTTTGCTGGCTTAATGTTGCTGAGGTCCCCAAGCAGGTCATGGAGGAAAAAGACACAACCTAAAATATGCAAATACAAAACCAAATGAAAACCACGCACAAAGGCTAAAAATCCTCAAGCCAGCAAACCTCCCACGACAGGAAAATGTCACTGCTGTAGTTCAGAGATTTCTCTACAGCAGCTGGACCATGAAAAGATGGTCAGAAGCTGGTGATGGCAGAGCAGTGGGGGAATGAACTCAGCTGTATCCCTAAGCTTTGATCCTGCTCATATTCTGGGAACTTATTTTCCTTGACGTGTAGGTGAATCCCGTGCCTGAAATAAGAGTTGAAGTAACACAAGAGGCAAGGAGGGCTATTCTAAGTAACTTGATAAAAAAGGAAAATTCAGCAACTTAACAAAGAAAACGACAAAAAAATGACTCCAGACTCCTTCGAAGTCAGAGGTGCAGCAGCTAGAACAATTCATTAATGCTCCATGCAGGAAGACCTGTATTATTTTAAGAGCACTGTATTTGCATTTTAGATATAGCAGAATGAACTAATTATGAAATGTATGCATCAAAGATTTCAATTTCAGGCTTGACTTTACTTTGGAGATTAATTTTTTACTTTATCATTTTTGCAGGCAGTTCAATGGACAGCCTTATTTGAATGTTACTCATTGTTCAGTGATGTATGAAGTGTATTTAATCAATGTGAAGAAAGTAATATTAAACTATTATCAGAAGCATCAAATGTTCCAAAAAATCTCAAAAGGAAGGTCAAAAGGTAACATTTCTGCTAATAATAGGAGAAACAATATATTTAACTTATTCATTACATACAAGTTTTTCATGGCATATACATTATCCTTTTGACATAAAATCACAATGGAGAATGTGGACGGTTATCCCCTTGACTAAAAATATCACATGTAGAGTTGATCAAGTAAGCTTTCAGTGTTTAGTAAAAGATATTTAAATAACTGTTTTAGAGATGGTGTGCATTTTAAAGGCTTTGCTGCAAAAACATTTGGTAGAACTGTCCTTGTGCTCATCATTAATTTGCTCCAGATGGGATTTCAGTCCCTGCCCAGCCTTTTACAAGCACACCCACAGTGGGTGTCACAGGTAAAATCTAGTTAATATAAGGCCAGAACTCTCTCAATTCCACTGCAGATTCATCCTCAGGGGGTCAGCTCAGGCACACCAAGCCAGCTGGAAAAGTGGCTTTTCCAAGGCACCTTAAACTTGGACTGGAAACATTTATTTTCCATATTCATTGCCTCACACTTGTGGATGATGTGAACAATATTGGTGTAAGAAATATTAAAAAAAAAAAAAATCCTCCCACATCTGTATGTCTTGCACTTTCTATGTTAAGGAAGATTTCAGCTCTAGCTCAGAAGCCCAGAGGTTCCTTATGAAATGAGCCGAAGGGATTTGAAGGAAGAGAGCATGTGAATGCAAACCACTGACATGGTAAGATATGCTCAAAGGGTAATTTTCAATGCCTCTTTAGATTAAGAAATAAATTCATTGCATAGTGAAAAATGGTGACCTGCACTGTGGTTTTTAGAGCAAGCTACTGATTAAATTATGGAAAACTGATTTTTTTTTCTAGCTTAAGATGTACTCAGAGTTAACTGGGATCAAAGAAATTAATTTCATACCACTACTAAAATGAATTACTGTGTCCTTACTTTCTTTTTACCACACTTGTGATATCTCTTCCAGTAATAGCTGATAGCTTTGCTTTTGTCTCTTGCTCCATCACATCAGCTTTGCATTTTTAGAGGCATAAAGCAACAAGACTTGTTGATGGGGACTTCTCTAGTGAGCAGGCTATTAAGGATGAGCAGCACTTCAAGTGGCTAGTGCAAGTCCTTCCAGTGAAAGAGCAAAATGTTACTGCAATTTGATAGACTTGCTTCAACAAACCCACTCAGCTTTTGTTTTGGCTCATCAGCATCTTGCAGAGAACTGTGTATTTAAAGTTAACCTCAGACCAGTACATTGTAAATGTCTGTAGAGAGCAAGAGCATCCTCTGTGCAAGAGCACAAGGGAAGGTATTTTCAGCTTCTCAGCCTTGAAAGCAATGGACATGTGAGACCATCTGAAGTTTCAAAAGTGTTCCACAGGACCTGCTACGGCTTGTGTGACCTTCATTCTGCAGACACAGCAAGCCTCTTTCAAACATCACTGCCACTGGGATGCTTCCCTTGGCTTGCAGAAATCAAGCATAACTAAGTCTTCTTAGGAGTAGGATTTTACTGTTGTGCAGAATTCTCTGCCTTCTAATTTTATGATCAGAGGTGACTGTAGAACATCCCTGGTGGAAAGTACGATTAGAAATGCACCTGGGTGCTTGAAAAAGTTTCTGGTGTGACTGCCATTGTCCTTCCTCTTCAATGACTGTTGAGCACACATAAATTAATGCTGTCCCCATTTCTTCCCCTCATACAATTTTTACATCTCTGTTTCAATGGATGTATTGCAAGTGAAGGCTACTAAAACTACACAGCTTGAAGATAACAGTCACTTACTGAAGCAGACAATTTTGCTTCAATTTTTGATTAATTATTTTGTTGAGCAAGGTCAATCTATCAAGTTTAGGCTTAATACAGCTGTAAAGTTTTATAATTTAAAGTCCAGTTATGTCACCCTAAAACACTCCAAGTTGCAATTGCCTGTTATCAGTTGCAACAAGTGTGTTCACATGATTAAAAATGGAGTTACATTCTTCAGAGGCAGTAAAACCATTGTTGCTGTAATTTAAAATTATTTGGTATATTAAAGAAAGCCAACACACAAAGCTGTTACATGCAAATAAGCAGGACAGATATGAAAGGATATCTGTGGGCCAAGCTGAGCCCATGCCAAGGAAGTACATATTTTTTTGACTTCATGTGATTTGCAGGTGAACATTAATGAAATAAGCAATGGGAAAAAGCTTCTCTAAAAATCTAAACTCTCGGTACCATGCTGTCATGGAAATAGCAGCCTCTGAAGCTTGGTGTTTCAGCATTAAAGGTCAACAAAGCAAATGTTAAAGTTTCATTTTATTCCCTGTGATTTTTCATAACCAACGAACACTTTCATTTATTCCTTTTCAAACCTTCACACAATATGCCTGCACAGAAAAATTAAGCCTGCTCTGCATTGTTAGATCCAGCAGAAATTAGAGAAACTACCATCAGTGCTGCTTCTTGTGATGTACCTACTACATTCTCCCCTTGGAAGTAGGGACAGCATGCATTTTACCTTGTTCCACAAGGAATTTTCTGCTTTGGAATGTGTCTGCTGGCCAGGTTGCATTGTCCCTTCATGCTTGTCCCTTCACAGTCATGTGAAAATATAGGTAAGTCCTATAAAAGGAGAATAGAAGACATTTATTAAGTAGATACAGTGAAATTTCTTCCATTCTTTCACCAGAAAAGTTGTAAAGTTACCACTACAAAAGTGGTAAAGTTGCAAAATTATGGGTTTGGATGTTGAAGATTGAATGCTGAAGCTTGAAACCTGCATTGTGTGCTGAAGGAGATGTCCAGGAGGAGTTTCCACAGATGGAGAACACAAGCTGAATTGTATCAACACCCTGATACCACAGGGGATCACGTGCACTTGAACTTCCAGGAGCAGGTGTCAGCTTTTGGTCCAGGTCTAACGTTGGGGCTTTGATCTTTGAGCTTCATTTTAAACAGCTGCTTGATTTTACAGCCCACTCAGATGGGCAAGCACTCGACATATTAAAATAAATGTTACTGCATTGCATATCAAAAGTTAAAGTAAGCATTAAATAGTAAATATTACAATGTACAGTAAATAAAATGATCAATTAGTATCTGTTGTCAGTGAGGAGCACCACCAATTACAACTTATAAATATCACCATGTACTTCAACTACAGAACCCCCCACTTTCTCAGATGCAAAAATGTAGAACTCATCCCTTTGTGAAAGCCCACCAAATTTAGTGTCTGTGCCTTAATTTGTATTGGACCTATTATTTAAATGACTTACTAGATTCTGCCTAAATTTGTATTTGATCTATTACTTAAATGACTTACTGGATTGTTCCAGCAGTGTTATCTGATCATGTCAGCTGTACTGTCCACTTCCACACAGACCCAGCAGATCAACATTTCACTGCAGGCTCTTTGCTATACAGATCCCAGGTTCAAGTTAATTGTATGCCAAATGTACCTCTGTGACTCAGCCTGGACCACCCTGAAATCCTGGAATCAGATATGAAGTTGAGGCATGTTTTACTTTGAGATATATGTTTCTTATTAATAAGGGTTCCTTGTCTTCCAGAAGTTTGTCTGAAATTCTACAGGTTTGAAGAGTCTCACTTTTCTTCTCAGAAATATAATCAAGATATATAAGAATTTCAGTTAAATCCTCAGAAATTATAAGGTCTTCAAATCACAATATATTTTATCTCTTAACACCAGAGAAATTTTTTAAAGAAAGTATTACAAAGATCTAGAGAAATAAACAGAGTGATAGTCGAATTATCAGGTTAATTCAACATCTGATGTTATAAAAACCCAAACTGAACTAGGGAATCTTAAGGAAACACCAATCAAAATACTTTCTGCAGGTGAGCATCAACAAAGAAAAACTAAAGACCATCCCTTAGAATTGCTGTGGCATTTACAGGGGATGTTCTCAGAACACCAAAAAAGAGCGCTGCAGCAGTGCAGACCAGACAGAGCATCCTGCACATTGCTGGGGAGCAGCTACAGCTCCTGTGCAACTCAGGTATAAAAAAGGAGTGGACTTCAGTGGATATATTTTATTTCTTTAGTTTTGCTTTAGCAAATATGAGATTTCATTTTGCTTTGTTTTCTAACGCCACACTTGGCTGTAGGTCAGAGTAACACAACCAGGTCAACTTCTAGAGAAGTAAAAGAAATCTGTTGTGGAAGCAGAAATAAATAATGGGGAACATATTGATTTAGATATCCTATTCATTTTTAATTGAATGTGATCAATATATTTGCAAAATTCAAATCAAGAGATTTGCTACTTTAGCAAGAAATAGAAGTCAAATGAAACTGAAATAAACACAAAAGCTAACCCTCAGAAAAAATCACTTAAATGGCAAAAAAAAAAGAATATTAGAAATACTTAAGAATTAAATAAATTTGCATGTGACTGTAGTTCAGTTCTCTTCAGCAGTTTAAATGTTGCTAACATTAGAGCCAAATAAACATAAACTATGTAAAAATAAAGATTTGCAGCAGCAGTAAAATACTCTGTCTGCAACTGAAATACAGACCTTTGGGATTTTTTTTGTGTACACTGGATATGTTCAACCCTGCTTGAGATATCTGGTGGTTCTTATACAATAATATACAATATACAGAGTGCACATAATCCTACTACAGGCTCTACTCTGAGGGACAAGAATCTGACCCACGTGAAGTTATGATACTGATCTTTATTGTGTGGCTTTAGTGCTTCAGTTCATTGGTTTAGCACCTGACTTTTAAAGAATAATCCTTTGAAATCAATGAAAATTAGATACAGAAACATCTTTGAAAAACCAGCAGCATCCCGTCCATGGCCCTGCATGCAGCATCCTGCTGACCACCTTAATTTGGGTGCAGAAGGCCAGGATGAGGACCCATGTCACCAACTGCAGCATTAAATAATTTCTTCTGTCTCTCTAGAGAGGAGTCCACTCGTGGAGGTGTGATTTAGGAAGTTTTTGAAACACTCCCTGATGTTTTCTCAGAATCTGTTCTTGACTGTGCTGCTGTCAGTCTCTGCTACGACAAACTGGTGGATATAACTGTGTATAACTAATTCCTGTGTCCCTCACACACCAGAGCAGCTAGGGGCTACAACTTTGGTTTAGGAACACTTGAGAGCCCTGGTGGCAAAGTGCAGAGGAAGGAGGTGTTTATTGGGATACAGTAGTTTGGGTAGAGAAGCAGTAACTTTCTCAGGTGACAGAAATGCAAAACTGGAGCCTCCCCTGAAATGGGAAATGTAAAACCCTCCCTCTGAATTGCTATAATTTTGAAATTAAGGGCCTCTCAGGCAAAGATATGGGAGTAGGAATAACAACTCTTTACTAGGAAAATTAAAAATGAAATGAAAATGCAGTAAGACAAAGCAACCCTGACAGAATCAGAATCTGACCTGGCACTCTTATGGGTCAGGGAAGTGTCTCAGTCCCATCCCAGGGTGGCTCAGCCCTCCTGTAGTGCCAGCTGTGCTTCTGCTGGAGCAGGATCCTGCACAAGGGGGGAGTTTTCCTCTGGAGCTCCAGGGCTGGGGGAGATGGGCCTGGGCTCCTCTGGGAATGCAGGGGGAAGAAA